TGTTGGTGCTGGGAATCCCCTCTGCTTCAACACACGCACAAATTCTTTCTTTCTCTCTCTCTCTCTCTCTCTCTCTCTCTCTCTCTCTCTCTCTCTCTCTCTCTCTCTCTCACACACACACACACACACACACACACACAGATACACACACATACACACACACATTGAAATTGGGTACAGAACCCAAAATAACCCCTAAAATATTCATGTAGTTATGTTTTTATATATTTATTTGTTTAGTTGATGTTTTAAAAACAGAGGCAAAAAAAATCCTTCATGCTAAAAAATGTCTTCGATGAAAAGAATTGCCAAAATCATCCATGCCACATAACGCAGTTTTCGAAATCTGGCAGGTAGTTTTTACCCAGCCTCGTGAAGCTATCTAGAGTTTTCACTCGGGTGGCTTTGGGATGGTGCCATGAATCTCCATGTTGGTCCGTTGCCTGAACTGCACGGGCGATAAGGAAACAGCTGCCTGTAAGCATTTGCTGTGTGAAAGGACAGAAAATGCAGGCACCAGCCCTTCCAGGGAGGCCTCATTGCTGCAGCAGTTTATCCCATTACTAGAGACGTGCCGTGCTGATAGCCCACATTCAGCTGTTGACCGGCAGCGTGGCCCTCAGCTGTAATAGGGAGCATATGATCACTCCAGCTGGCAGGTGACACCATCTGGCAACATTCCCGGCAGCTCAACAAAAGATTTTCCAATTTCAAAGCAAGGGGAAAGACCTCTGCCTTTTTTCTTTTCTTTTTTTTGAGTGGTTTGATTATGAATGCATTTTGCTTCCAAAAGAATTACTGCTTCTAACTTGATGAATTCTGCTAAGGAAAGGGCACACTCAGAGAATGAAATTAGCTGGGGGGAAAATTTGTTAACTTCTCTTTTACATTGATAAATAAGTGATAACTTATCGGAAATTAAACTTGTGCTTAAAAAGGACTGCAACTTGAATGTACAATAGTGAAAGCTTGGAAATGTTTGTTGGTGTTTTTTGTTAAAGGTTCCATCTGAAAACAGCCTATAAGAAGTGAGACTGGTTAGGTTATGAAAACATAAGAGTCTTAAGTTTTATTGGAGAAAGGGACCTTAGTGGACTTTTAGGAAAATGTGATTTCACCAGGTAGAAAAGCTGTGGGGCAGAGTACTCGCTACCAGGTCAGAGTCATGCACCTCAAGAGTGGCAGCTTGGGCACGTCTGGGGCCCTTGACCCTGAGCACCGAAGTCATCATTTTCTAACTTGCTACAGATTGGGGACTCAGAAAAACTGGGCAGTCCTCTGGGTCCATTCACTTTTTTCATTGAAAAAGTAAACAGTAGATGAAAAGGAAAAAACAAACGTACCTGAGCATTATATTATTTTATTAATCGCTGAATATAATGCTAACATTAAATCTGTTCATATGTACACATAAGATATGGGGCCATAGAAATGACTGCCAATTGGTTGATGGTTCTCAGAACCATATCAGTCACATATCGGTCTATGTAAAAAACGCATCTATCTCAAAAAGCATGTTTTTTTTTTTTTTTTCTGAAATAGTCACTAGAGTTACAATAATACTCTATATGTGGTTACCCTTATATTTTGCTGACCAAGATTAAGACAACCACTTTCATTCTTAGAACAAACTACCTAATCAAATAAAATGTGTGATTGTGTTGTCATAACAGAGTACAAAGCCCACATATATATTTTGCTTTATACAAACAAAATGAAAATTTAATCTCTGAACACCAAATTGTGTTATTTATATAAAATTTGGGGGTGCTTGTTGATACTATGAAAAGGTTTAGGGTAATATCCTCTATATAAATAATCTTCCTGTAACATGGATAATATTATTGAATTGGTTTGTACCTTTACAGGAAGAAAAAAAATGTTCTTTAATTCAATAATATTATAAGTGCTTATTATTGACTTATTCTGTAGGAGCTAAAAAACAAAACTAAAAAAAAACAAAACAGATTGCTAAGGATCCTGTTTATAGATATCTTCTTACGTGCCCAAATGATTTCTATTTATGAAAAAAAATCGTATGAGCTCATCATACTCTATAGGCCTCATGAAGAAGCTCGGAATTGGGCTGGGTTTGGGGGTTACCACAGGTTAGCTGGCTCATGAATCATCCAGTACCACCAGTACTGGTTCTTCTCAAGTTATCTATATTAAAGGATCAGATGCTGGCTGATTTTTATTTTTGTGTTTATTTGATTTTCTATAACTCCAACAACATGGTTTTACTGAGTATGTCTAGCATGTAGCTCATGTCATACACATCTTACCGTGGAATTCAACATGAACAAAACTGGCCTGTATAATGTTTGGTGAATCATGTCCACTGGTGGTGCACTTGAGTGTTGCAGACTTTAAATTGCTGTAACAATGCCTCAGCATTTACTTTCAGTACTGTGCTTAGCTCATTACATATCCCTCACCAACAGTTGCACTCATCTCTGGACCCCATTTTGAGTAGCCCTGTGCTAGTGGTATTTCCTGTACTACAAAGGCAGAAAACTAACACACAGCAAAATCTGCAAAGTTGCTTGCAGCCAGGTTTCTGGACCTGATTTAGACTCCAATAATGTGCTAGGTCTGGGCCTGGATTTTAAACGGAAGTCAGAGGAAGAAACAGACGTACCCATTTAACAGGGAAGTTTAGTGGCAGAAATGAGGCTTCTTGTAGCCACCAAAGAAGCTTTCCGGATCAGAGAAATGGTGAAGTGATTTTGAAGGCTGGAAGCTGGAGGCTCGGCTTAGAAGCCTTTCCCTCCAGCCTATCCAATTGTTGTATAAACCACCTAATACCTGATACTAAATTTCTTTTTGTGTGATTTAGTTGGTTCCTATTGTCTGAAAGAAATAAGGCTGCACTGATAAAGATCCATTTGCCAATTGTAATTATTGGGTGGCTTTATATTTTTTGACTGGTTAGCCGTTAGCTCTAGATCAGCGTTTCCAACCTCATTGTGCATATGGATCACCTGGGAATGTGAATACACTGGTTCTTATTTAGTAGAATAGCCTGGGGGGTCTGAGATTGTGCAGGTCTATCAAGCTTCCACAGACCAACCAACAAGCACAGCGCATTCCTTTGGCCTCCCAGAGTGTCATGTTTTTGTGAAAATCATAATGAATAGGATAGATAGTTCCCCTACGCTCGATGGTGTCAATTTTTTGCATGGCCAGAATGAAGGAGAGAATGGCTAGAGAACGGCAGCTGAATAATTTAGCAACCATGGATGATTTGGTGAACTTATTTAGTTTCACTAATAATAAAAAAATGAAGTTGATAAATATCACAGTGCTCATGGGCCTACCAAGGTTCACTGGAAGGCCACTTGTGAATTATGCAAGCCTAAAATGAGCCCCAGTACATGAGCGCTCAGCTACTCTCCTGGCCTTAGCTTTTGTCCTCTGATACGCTCATGGTTTCTAAAAGTCTAGAAGTCGTCTGGAACTTTACCAAACCCTGAACCTTCTTTCTGGGTCTACCTACTGGGTTCTTCTCTCTCTTGGATACAACCTGGGTGCATCCATTTTAAATCTCATGAAGGATAGGACATGTATCCAAGAGGAAATTAAATAGGAGAAAGTTTGTAAGAGAAGAAATACAGAGGTTATCATTTGGACATTATTTTGCCTGATTTCATGAATAAGCTCACAAGTATAAGTGTGAAAACTTGCTTACCACAGTTTTGCTCTATGGTTAGTGCTATATCTAATGCACTGTTAATTCCCGGTACATGATATTTGAGTAAAAATGACTTATTCTGTAGGTGCTAAAAAATATGTCTAATATTTATTGAAATATTAGTCCTCTCTGTGGTTATAAGAAAAACAGAGCTGACTCATGAGGCCTTTTGACCACCACTCGCACTTCATCCTACTTTCCAGACATCTCAACTCAGACAAATAGACTCTGATGCTTCTAGCTGTCTCCTAAGAATACAATTTTTGAACACATGCCAGTAAAATGAAGAGCATTTAATGTGAGTAGCACATTAAAATGGACCTGCCTCAGTACGGTTGATTACCTTAGTTAAATATAGCACCTGAATGACAAGAAGAACTATCAGTGCATTCTTCCATTGGAACAAATGGCTCTATTATGGCGACAGACTGCCTGTGTCTCATAAACATGCATTATTGGTTACTGAGAATGGGCAAGAGTTCAACTGAGAATCAACACGAGGTCTATCAATTCCAGGAGTATTCTCAAAGTGCATATGTCCTTAGTCATGGACATTCATAACATCATCTTCATCTTCATATATAGACATTACAACTTAAAATCCAACATTCCTGCAATTCAGGAAGGCATAGATAGATTAGAGTTCAGACATAAATACTTTTCAATAAATATTAGACATATATTTACTGGATATATCTATAGTAATATAGATATAAATGGATTCTATTTCTAAAGGTTATGGTATATTTAATTAAGATATTCGTATGTATACTGTGTATTAAAGTGTGAACTGGAAAAGTTGATTTATTTGAATAAACATGCAATATAATTATTAGTGACAATCAACATTTCAAATGATGCTAATGATAATGTTAAGCAAACTACTTTTTCTATTTAAAACCGTATTGTATTGAGTTGGCCAGGCATGTCTATTTAAATCACTAAACAGAATGGAAATTATCATATGGTAACAGTTCCTGGTTTCTCATTCTCTAAATTAAAACAAATCTGGAGTGAGTGAAATGAACAATATGGTAAACTTCGTTTCGGCTAATTTTGCTTAGTCCCTTTATTTTCTATTTCCCATAAATGGTTTAACAACTCCTACAAAATAGGAGGAAAAGCAAATGTTAGCTTTGGGTCTAACTGCTTTTACACATCATAAATGTTGATGCATTTTCAATGAAATTAGAATTCCACCTCCAAGTAGACATAAAAATGTCCAGGCTGATTTCACTGTGGAACACAGAAGGCCAAGTTCATAACTGCCTGTGTGTGTGATGAGAATATCAATGCTCTTTTGCAGATTGTGCCAGCAGGAGAAGCTGCCAATGACCTTCCAGTCCTGTGTGATCACCAAAGAGTGCCAGGTGTCGGAGTGGTCCGAGTGGAGCCTCTGCTCAAAAACTTGCCACGATATGGTGTCCCCTAAAGGCACTCGTGTAAGGACACGGGTCATCAGGCAGTTTCCCATTGGCAGTGAGGAAGAGTGTCCAGAACTTGAGGAAACTGAACCCTGCGTGTCTCAAGGAGAGGCAGCTGCCCCCTGTGCCACGTGAGTGAATCAGGCTGCAGCCTCTGTCGCCGTCTCTGCCCAAATTGCATGTCTGTTCAGCTGTTTAATTCCAACTGAAGAGTAGGTTGAGAAATAGTGATTTTTACAAATCTTAAGTGAGGAAAAATATCTCTTTACAAACACTATCCTAAAAAAATGATTTTAACCAATAAAAGTGTTGTTAGCAAGCTGTATTTTTCAAATTTCCATGAGGGCTAGACTTTTAGCAGCAATTCTCTGTTTATATATTTCTGTAATAGGTATTGGCAAACTTACTCTTCAAAGAGGAAGAGTGCAGCCCTGTCTGGTTTGGCTCAGTGGATAGAGCGTCAGTCTGCGGACTGAAAGGTCCCAGGTTCGATTCCAGTCCAGGGCATGTACCTTGGTTGTAGGCACATCCCCAGTAGGAGGGAGGCAGCTGATTGATGTTTATTGAATTCTGAAATATTTGGCACCATAACCTTATTCTTTTTATTGTTTAAAAATATGACTTCCAAGACATTACTGTGAATCATCTTCAAAATAAATACATTTCAGCTTAGTCTGAATATAGAGTACTTAGAATATTTATAAAAAAACAACTTGGAGAATCTCAGTTTCTCAGTAGATATATACAAGCTTCATTTGGTTTTCCTCTGGAATAGTACAAGCATTTAAAGAACATGAACTTCCTGAGTCAGAGAGGAGGAAAATATTACTCCTACTCCTGCTTCTAAGAAGAATAACTGAAGAATAGTGACGGTTTGTATGAGACCTTCCATCCTGCAGCACTTTGGAATCCTCCCTTCTCCCCCGATGTAACAAGTGACTGGAAGCCCAGAGAGCTTCCTGCCTGTCTCCTCTGCCAGCTCCTCTGATGCCTAGGCTCCTCTTCACGTAATAGGCTCTGGGAATTTGCCTGGATCTCCAGCCGGAGTATCCGTGCCCTGTGAATTTCTTTTATTTTTGTCTCAAGCTAGGTGTTTTATTCTTTCTCTTCTTAGATATTCAAGCACCATTAACAAAATAAATATATATTCTGAGTCTCTTTATCTCTCCCCCCGCCTCGCTGTTGGGAGAATAGCACTTTTAGAATGTGTGACCAATTTACTCCCTCTTCCCCCCGCCCCCCCCCCCCCCCGCCCCTACAGTTGATTTCAGAGAGGAAAGAAGAGGGAGAGAGACATAGAGACGTCAGTGATGAGAGAGAACCATGGATCAGCTGTCTCCTGCACACATCCCCACTAGAGACAAAGCCCGCAGCCCAGGCATGTGCCCCGAATGGGAATCGAACCATGACTTTCTGGTTCATAGGTTGATGTTCAACCACTGAGCCACACCAGCTGGACACCAGCTTACATTATTGGAAATGTATTCCTTTCTTAGGACTCCGTAGGTGACCTAAATTGAGACTGCATTCTATAAAAATGAAAAGTGTTAGTTTAACTCCCCTGATGAATGATTTCATTGGCTTTACTTTTCTCACACCCCTGCCTGCCGCCTTCTACACTTTGCCCAAGGCATCAACTACCCATGTTTTTAGAATTAACCTGAATGCTGTACTTCCTTTATAAACATGTGTCAGGAGTGTTATTGCTTGATGCGCCTGTTCTGCACCTTTGTTAAGCCATGAACCCTCACTTATGAAGATGAAAAAGGGTCAGGAAAGTCAGCTCTCCTGTCATGAAACTTTCCCATTGACAAAGCAGAGCATGGAGATCAGACATCGCAGAGCCCATTTAATATCTCCTCCTAATCAAGATGAGCATTAGCACATCCATTTGTACCTATGCTGGCCGTTAATCTGATTAGTAAGGGAGCGTCTTGGTTAAAGTGACTCAAAGTGCTAGATGAGCCATTTTCTTTGTGCTTTCAGACTATCTATTTTCCTTGAGGTGGAGAAATGCCACCACTTCCTATCTTCTTTGGCATCAGGAAATGGTTCCCTGCCTATCTCCTTAAAGCGTGTGCTGGGCTGACAAGATCCTGACATTTCTTCCACATCATAATCTTGATTGGAGCTTTAATTTAGAATCGCAGATTGTCTTTCCTGTGATCCACTGATTAGAAACGTCAGCTCTTTTCGTCATTTATCAGCACTCATCAGGGAAGCTCAGCGCTACAGAAAAACACTCATTCTTTTTTGTTGTTGGTAATCTTCACCAAAGGATATTTTTCCATTGGTTTTTATTTATTTTATTTACTTATTTTTATTGTTTAAAGTATTATATATGTCTCCTTTTTCCCTGATTGACATCCCTTCCCCTTTCCATTGGTTTTAAAGAGAGTGGAGAGAGAGGAAGAGGGAGAGACAGGCAGAGAGACTCATTTAATGATTGCCTCCCTCCTGCACCCCAACCAGTGCCAGGGATAAAGCCTACCAACTGAGGTGTGTGCCCTTGACTAAAATTGAACCCTGACCTTTGAGTCCACATGTCGATGTTCTACCCACTAAACAAAACTGGCTAGGGCAAAATCACTCATTCTTGACAATGAAGAGAAACCTCTAAACTGTTGTTACATTTTTTTAATCCTAAAGCACAATTATAATTTTGATCTAGTATGAAGAAGCAATTTTCATGCATTTTATTAAAGGCAAAACAAATGTTTGGGTTGATCATCACTTGGAATGTTTTTCATTCTTAGATTCAGCCCCACTTTGTTTATAAGTATCGAAAAAGAGCAAGCCTGAGTTTAGCTTAACGGAACATAAAATTTCATGTTTTCAGCATTATGCTCTCTTGTAATAAAATATTTATAAGCAACCTCCAGTGATCGCAATTAAAACAGGATCATCTTAAATTAAACTCTTCCTTAAACGGAGCACTGCTGAGGATAAAGGATAAGAGATTGAATCTGAATCTACACCAGAGATATGGTAGTTTACGATTGCTTCAAGAGGAAAGTGTTTTTTGAATTATTTTTTTAAGAAAAAAAAATGAGCAGAGCAGAGTTTTTTCAATAGACATGGCTGCCACTGATGGCGTTTTCTTTTTCAGGTATGGCTGGAGAGCCACAGAGTGGACTGAGTGCCGTGTGGACCCTTTGCTCAGTCAGCAGGACAAGAGGCGAGGCAACCAGACGGCTCTCTGTGGAGGGGGGGTCCAGACCCGAGAGGTGTACTGTGTGCAGACCAATGAAAACCTCCTCTCACACTTAAAGACCCACAAGGACAAAGAAGGTAAGCTGTGTTTCTTTTCAAGGATCAGGCATGGAGACTGAGCATGGGATGCTGCAGGAGTATATATCCAGTCATCTGGGGCATGCATAGCCATATTTCTGTTCACATTATGGTTGCTGACCACTATGGTGAACGATAATTCAAATTTTGGTAATAACAATTTAATTCAATTCCATCTTTGATCAGTTCTAATTTGTTGACAGATGTATCATTAAATTTTCTAACTTTAAGCTCTGAGTGAAAACTTAGGAGTAGTTATTTATAAAAATAGAATAAAAACTAATCTTATAATTATATGCAAAGAAGTATATATTCTAAAGCCCAATGTTTTTCGCTTGGTATAAGAAGTATAACCTGCTTATAAAAAAAATCCTCCTTTTTCTATTTATAATGTGGTTGAAAAATATGTTAATTATAGTGTTGAGTTAAAAAATTCAACTTGAGTTTAAATGAAATCAATACAGAATAAATACAGAATCAAACTACAGTAAAAACAGAACAAAAAGAAACATTTAACCCAAAAGTCTGACTTATTTTAACCTTATTAAACACATTTTAGAATATTTTTATTTAAATCTCAGTTTTGAACCAGATATAATAAATATACAAAAGGGTAAGTGATTTTGAGATGGCCAGGGCAAAATGTATAGATTATCATACATTAATATTACTCTGATATTCTAATCATTATTGGATCAAGTTTATATTCAATTACTAGCTTTTATGTCCATACAAATATGGATATTTTTAAGCAATGCTGTAAGCTAACCCTCTTACATTTCTCTCTACCTGAAGGATAACAGGATGTCTACCACTAATGTATTCAATGTATTTTTAGTTAATTAGAGAGTTCCAAAAATTATGTAAGATGGTGAAGATAGAAATGTCAATACAAATTTTGTGTCAGGAAAATGTTCATAGTCATCATGAGGGCACGTAAACAAGCCAACCTATAATGATTAAAGTATAATATGCTAATTAGACCAGAGAGCTGAACGACCTTCTGGATGTCCTTCCGGACAAAGCCAAGGCTTTAGGGCTGAGCCCCTTGTATAAATTTCAAGCATTGAGCCTCTAGTAATTAATAATGCAATATGCTATGAGTTAGAAATGAGTTTTAGAATCATGGTAGGGGGATCACAGAAACAGAAACCTTCATAGACGAGGGAATGGTACTTGAGCCAAGTGATGAGGAGAATGTGCCATAAAGTTAAAGGGGTCGGGAATGCAAGAGGGAACAGCATTAGCACACCATTAAAGAGGAGCAAAAACAAAAGAGAAATCTTGCCAGAAAAGATGAGTATATTGTATTTAGCAAGTTGTGGTATGATGGGGTAGTATTTCCCAGCAAATGTGTTGGTTGGAAAGGGTAAAGAATAAAGACCTTAGTTCATATTAACAGAGACCAAAAAAGGGGACAGGAGATATGTAGAGAATGAATCTGATCAAGAATAACCAGAAAAAAAAAGAGAGGAAAGAACCAAGAGAAATGGGTGTTTCAAAAACAAAAGATGATTTTACTACCTCCCTGAAAAGGAGTGGCACCTGTGACCAGCAATTCATGAAAAACAATCACGGAAGTTTTGCATGTGTAACTTGCAAAATTTAATTGTTTTTTATCCACTAACTTTCATAGCGCGTCAACTCATTTAGGAATCTAGCCTCGGGATACATTTTACTGCTAATATATCTTGAAGTTGTAAGGAAGAGGTATAAAACAGGTAATGTTAGTACATTAATATTTTCTTGGCCACTTTAATGGCTATGTTTTTAACACTCTTAGGTGGATTTATTATAGCCGTCCTCTCAGAATAATATAATTTCATTGCTAGAGGTAGTTCGGAGTTTAGTTTCTGAATGTCAATTATGTCCTGTAGGTTATTACTTTCAAAAGAGCCTTTGGGGTTTGGAATTGGAACTGGATACATTTTTAAAATCATTTTGTTATGGAGTTTCCCTCCTGCTGTCAAAACACAGCAGAATGCCAAATAAATAAATAAATAAATAAATAAATAAATAAATGTCACACCAAAAAGAAAAAAGAAAAAGAATATTACTGTAAGATGTATCTTTTGGAGTAGCAAATGCCAAAGCAAAGATCAGTGGATATAGAAATAATCAGTTCTTTTAAAATTAATATTTATCATGGAAGCATGTAACATGAATAACTTAGGAATATGTGTCCTTTTATGTCACATAGCAAGACTACTATAATCCTCTTTGGGGGGAAACAAACCAGTCAGTTGATTTTTTCCTAATAGTTTCAGCTTTTACCTCTCAGAATTTAGACTATGTAAGTTTCTCCCAAAAGAACTTAGCATTTCTCAATAGGAAACTTCAATACACCAGCATCCCAAGGACTATAAATATGTGTGGCTGGAGCTCAACGTGACTGTGGAGAATGTTCCGTGTATCTTCATTCAATAACTATGAAAGGATGAAGGCTTACTTTACGAAGAGAGGGAAATCTGTCAAAATAACTTCCTCATCAATTCTATGAAGAAGGTACTGACCTCAGGAAAGTCTGACTGTGTCACCATGAACATCCTACCCTAAGAGCAATTTATATTATACTTCATTTGAAGAACAAAATCTACACTTGTTTTGGCAGATCTATACGTCGTGTTCCAGAAAAGTTGTTTTCACCAAGCTATTAACATACATTAGCTCAAAATAAAATAATTCAAAAATAAAATTTTTTGAGACAAAAATACTGAAAAAAGATATTCAATTCATATAACTTCCTTTATTATCTTGGCATATCATATTTATTTTATAGGTAGTGACCACCTTAGCACGATTTAATTCAATTTTCACGGCCTTGGGTGGTGTGAGTCAGTTAACAGTAGTAAAGACAATGTTGAATGGAAATGTGACCTAGGATGTTGAATGGAAATACTTAATGGGACCTGGGTAACCCTTCCAACCCTGACAACTGAGAAGAGCTAGCAATAACACTCAGACAATTCTGTTCAGCCAGCTGATTAGAGTTCCAGTAGTCTGAAAAGTGTCCAGCTTACACTGGCATGAAATCTACCATTATCAGAAAGTGACAGGAAGAAGCCTTGCCCATGGCGAGGTTACTGGGGTAAGCCCTAGAAAGCTGATGAGATGTTGCTGATCATTGGACGCATGAACATAAATTGATTTTTTTATTTATAAGCTCAAAGTGAAATGAAAGCAGATTAATTACAGTCACTAAGAATTTCTTTCATTTGAAATAGATTGAACATGTTTTTAAATGAGGGCAACCAAAAGCATTGGTTATAAAGCACCATGGAGCTTGCCGTGATTTATATTATAGGAAACTTATGAACATTCTTTGGTAGAAAATATATCTAATAATCCACGTGAAATCTGGATGAGGTCTGTAGGATTTGAGGTAATTAAGAAAGACAACATGGATAATGAGCCTGTATGATGACATAGCATGATATAAACCAGCGGAAAGTTCTGGAGGATCAATGGAAAGATGGATGGAGTGAAACATGATTGAGCTGTGAATGGATAGACAGAAGGATGAGCACATACTCTGCAATAAATTAAGGAGAATAAAAATAGTCACTATCCCTAAATGAAATAAAAATTCTTTATGGTCTTTGTAGTCTATTATCTACCATTTCCATAAACTAGCCTACTTTACTCAAAGCTATTTTGAAAAAAAAAAAAAATAAGGATATTCTTATATTGTAGTTCTGTTTCCCTGTGATTTCAGAAAGTAAATATCAGAGTACACCAAAGGCTAGTGCTGTACCTTTCCTACCCATCATTTTGAAATTACAGGTAGGTAAAAATATTTTACATGACATCTCAATCAGAAATGTGTATCCCTACAAATTCTCTGATACAGTGGTAGAAAATATAGTGGTTTAGTTCTATGTTGCTAGAACTATATCAAAGCTGTCCCATAAAATAGAAATTATTTAATGTTTCTTTGATTATAGCATCATTATATGGATATAAATTATAGAAAAACATAAACATATTTAAAAATTTATTTATGTAAAACTGTCACTAGGACCCCCACAATTATAAAAACAGATATGTAAAGTTTGGTTGTGAACACTTTGTTGAGATAAATTAATGAAGGTATGACCATTTTTCATAATTTATCATATTTTTAAGCATAGTACTTTGTGCTCTACTAATGTCAATATGGTAAACGAAAAAGGAATTAAATCACACAATGGCTACATTTTAGAAAGAACCTACACTGAAACAGGGAATGTCAAAACCACTATAATATAGACAATCCCTAAGTGAACCAGATCCTTCTTGGAAATTAGATCTCCGGATATTTTGTGAGAGAGAAGGGCTGTTACACTATGAAGTTTCTCTGGATCAGTAGAGTAAAAAATAGAAAGAGAGATGCCAGGAGGTTTCAGCCACTGGGATAGAAGCTAATAAAAATGTACCTGCTGGGAATTAGATTAGCTCATCCCTCGTCTACTCTAGAAGTCAGTTGGAATTTTTAGTAGAGGAAGAGCTTACTAATGAGATACCAGGAAATACTCAGCCAAAAAGATACAAAAGAAAAATATGATGAAGCAGCTTGGACATCATGTAAACATAAAAATAGTACTTACACTACTTTTGATTTAGTTAACATTTAGTAAACATTTGTTATTTGATATGTTTGTTCTCTCACTTGTAAAATAGTTCAGTTTAATTAGTCTGAAGACTGCCTCTTGAACATACCAAACATACTTTCTTTAAGACCTTTTCTATTTCAGCAAGAGTTTATAGTTACACCAGCCTGTTCTTTACCCATGAATAAATATTTATTCACACCTCTGAGTTGGAATAGAGGAAACATGACTTAGTTGTTAAATCAAATGATGAGGGTCAAAATACACTTTATTTCAGGCTGGCCACTCATTTCAGAGAACGTATATTATATCTATTTTCTCTCTTCTAATAATACAGATAGCTTTAACATCAACCGAATTTTCATCCTAAGGCTACTTTCAGTAGCACACTAGACAATCAGAAGACCTGGT